CAGTGCTTTTCTTTATAGTTCTTTTTTTTTTCCTTCTCCCTAGCGCTAATATAATTTCAGTCTAGTTATGTCCCCATCTGCACTTACATTCTGGGCAACAGTGTTAAAAATACTTACGTAAGCATCAATATTGGGAATACATTAAAAAAAAAGTCAGTTTAAACACTCCACTTTTCTCCACAGTCCCTAACATTTTCACTGCATTTCACGCAGTGATGAGCATGCAGAATGAAGAGCCAAGAAGTTGAACGTTACAAGCTTTTAATTTTTTTAAAAAAGTTAATTCCTACCTTTATCATTCTAGAGAGGTCTCCAGCATCAGCTAATTCCAACACTATGTTCAGTTCATTGTCTTCAATGAATGAGGCATAATATTTAATTACATTTGGATGATTCAGTTGCTAAGAAAGCAGAATAATAATGCACATTTTAGTGTAGAGCACGTCTCATCTTTTAAGACTGACAAATGAAACATTCCTATTTAGGCAAACAAAACAAACCCTAAAATCTATTTCAGGATGATACAAAAAGTATATGCTTATGAGAAGCTTTTACAGATAAATATTTTGTAAGAATTTGATGGCATAGAATCAACATGATGACTGACATTGCAATTTTAGAGGAATTTTGCTTCAATGTATCTATGCAATAGCACATTAAACTTATCTGAAACAGCAAAGTCCATTTTTAAAATCAGTATTTTACTGTACGCAGGACACAGTTATTTACAATACTGTGGTTTTAGCAGAAACTTCTACTTGAAAAGTTACCCATTTTTCTATAGGATTTACTTCTCAATGTTAATTTTTAAAGCAATAAAGATTACAAAATTCCTTAAGTGAGGCTTATAAAAACTCTACACAGACAACAGTGGACACCTCAAGTATATCTATGAAAAACTTAATACACTTTCATGATGGCTGCACATTTTTTAAACAAGTCTTTTACCTTAAGAAGATCTATTTCTTTGATGCAGTCAGCACGGGCTTTGGCATCCATTAAATCAAATATCTATGCACAAGAGAGAAGACATTTTTATTAAGTGATTAAAATATAGCAAATTGAGTGATCATTATCATTATTTCATAGCATCCATAAAGCAACTTGAGTTATGCTTTTCATGGCAAGACGTAACATTGCAGTAAGAAATATTCCTACTGCTCTGATGTACTGATTCACTGCTATATAGATTCTTTTAGCCCCCTCGTAGGAAATAAGTCCATTGTAAGTACAAGTTTTCCAATGACTTAATGGCCACTTCCGCATATCTGTTCAAACACACAGCAATAATTCAGCACGTTTCCTTCAAGTTGGTTTTAATCCAAATATCAGCTTCCTCTCCCATTCCTGCCACACCATTATCACAAACTGATTCTTTCTGGTACTGAGCATACCTTTTTTTCCTAGTCTCTTGCTACAGTCATCTTTTTCTATTCTAAATAATGCTTACGCTTTTATTCTCTCTCAGGATCAAAACTTCATTGTCCCCTCCAATTCTCTCTCTCCCATTTCTTTCCCTTCAGCATGCAAAGAAGTGATTTGGGTTCTGCAATTTGTTTACGATAGCACTTTTTCCTAAGCCCTCATCTGTCACCTTGACTTTTACAACCTTTTACAGTTAGACATCTCTGCCCTTCATTTTTCACCCCCCACCTCCCACCTGCTCCAAATTACTTTGCAATGTATCTCATTTTTGCCTCCTCCAGTTAACCACGTTACTCTCCACTAATTTCAATTTTTGTTTGGAGTAATTTTTTCCTGCCATTAGCGTCCTTGTCCACGTTCTACACATCTATATTTGATCTAATGTCTTTCTATTTTCACTCCCTTTTTTTAACCACCTTTGGGTTCCCTTTCTCAGATGTGCATCTCCATACACTGCCACCAACTATTCCCCTTAGAAATGTCCAAAATGTTACTTCTCCAAGGAACCCTTCCTCTCTCATTTGCCATTACTTTCTGAATAAAAAAATTAAAAAAAAAAACCAAACCCAAAACACACCAAACCAACCCCAAAAAACCCACTCATCAACTTCTGTGTGGTCTGCCTATTACATTTTGAGCTATCCAGAAGAATAATAGAGATGCACTATGAGTTTTAGTAATTGCCACAACATTTATGAGATTACCTTTGCCGGTTACACCTTTTCAATGCACATTTCTTTCTAGATAGTCTCCAGGAAAAGACGTATTATGTGCTGTGAAGATCACTGGTACCTGGTTCCATCAGCTCAAAATGATCAAAAGCTCAACAGCTGACAGCTTCCATTTCATATCTTGCCACCAACTCCAGAAACAAACATAAGGATTAACAGCACTGAGTACTGAATGTCTGCAAAGAGGTCATCTCTTAAACTGCCTGTGTAACTGTCCATGTGAATCACACCTTCCTTCACTCTCCCCAAAGAAGTTCAAACAAATCAGAAAGTCCACATGTGATCTGCTAAACCTCATCTTAATTTTCTATGCCACTATGCACAGTAAGTTTGTCATGCCTTTAATCAACTGAAAGGAGAAGTCTAGAGACTTCATCCATGGAGCACAGTCCTCACAGAGCACACATGTGCTCTTGACCGGCGACTACTTCACTTCAGACAGCCAATCTTCTGTCTTCAGAGCTGGCATAAGAAAAAACAGCCTGGAGTGGATATAAGATTCACTTTTTGACAAAAAGACAACTGTAAGTCAAGAACTGAAATGCCAGGCTTGTAGATAGTAAGAAGAAAAGGGGGAGGAGGAGCAAAGAAAGAAGAAAATGAAACTATTTACCACAAAAGAAAGGGAATAAACCATCTCACAACTGCTTTTATATTAATGCCAGGGTGATGGGAAATAAACAGACTCAGCTAGAATCAATTATTCAAGGAGGAGACTGCGGGAGACTTAACGGAAACACAGCAGGGTAAGTCACAAGAAAGGAATGCTAACACTAAGAAATAAAGCAATTTCAGATGTAGTAGAAGAAAACAGTTAGTACTACATATGAAATTACAGGTACAAGTATTAAGAGGTAAATAACACTGATGGAAAAGACAGAAAATATAGTTTATGAATTAAGGTTGGCAACTTAGTGAAGGAGACGAAACAGCCTACACCTGTTACAGATCTCAACTCTGAATGAAAAAACATTGCCCTTTAATTGTTTTGACAATAGACTGAAATCCTAGTATTTGGTACAGTCATGAAGGACTGTAATGATTTTTCTAGGAAACACTTAGGAAAGTTCTAAATGAGAGGTAGCACGTTAACTGAGACAGTACTGGGAAGACACGAGATCATAATTGTCTTTCCCTGTAACCTAAGAGACCAGCAAATGGAAATTTTTATACCCGCTCTCCCAAAAGCAATCAATGAAAGCGTGTACCAGGGAACAGGGAAAAAAGGGGACAGGCAAAGGGGCACGTCTTGAAGCTTCACACTTTTATGAAGTTCTAGATAGTAGTGAGAGAAGAACATTCCTTATAAATGATACAGAGATTAGACGTAGACAGAGAACTCCAAACACACTGGAGAACCTAATCAAAGCTGCAGACAGAATTTTAGACCGAAAATTGTACACAAATTATCTATTTGTAACATTTGGAGAAATCTCCCAAAGCACAATTTCAAGACTTAAAACCAAAATAGTTTCATTGAGTGAAAAACCAGGGCAGTTTTCACCTGTTAATGACTGTTCCATATGCCAAGAGGCTTATTAACTTACCTATACCAGTAAACATTGGTGAATGAAAAAATTTTGTGAGCTTTTTTTTTTTTTTTTTAAATAAGCTATGCCTCTGATAGGGACATAAATCAGTACCTCTCATAGAGGAGTAACAAAACAACAAAGTCCTAGACTCAGGACTGTGAAAGATCTAGGATCAAGGCATAGGAAAGAAAGACTAAGTTTTGTTTGTGTATTGTAGCTGGTATCGCCAGTACTTCTAATTTGTTATTAAACAGCCTGGAGTAGACTAGACCAAGCAGCTGCTCTCATGGAAGGACAGACTTGAGTTTTACAAACATGACTCCCTATACTTTTGCTAGACTTCATACAGCAGAGTGGCAAATTTGTCACAGCTTCAGCTAAACTGAATATTTCAAACATTACCCGAATAAAATAAAGCAAGACAGAAAAACTGAGTCTTTTTTGATCCTTACAAAGACAGACAATCTGAAGATTTACTGTATATCATTCTTGAGGTTCTCCGGTAGACTTTGGTTCAGATCTAACCTCAAAAGACTATAAATAGCATTTCCCAGAAATCCAGAATTTCAGTTTTGCAGACATTAACATCCTCCAACAACAAGATTAGGGGAAAAAAAACCAACCCAAAATAAAAACCAAAAAAAAAGCCAAACCAAACAAAAAAAAAATCGCCCAGCCCATGGCCTCTGAAGAACCTCTGCCTTATCATACCAGATTCAAACACCTTGCAAAGATTATCTTTCCATTTTGCCAAACTGCCATAGTTTGGATCAGAGGCCCCTAGTGTAATAAGCCACGTCGGCTCACAAGGAGGCTACTGTAAACACGAGAAAACCTCCATGCCTCATCACCAGAAGATGACTCAACACTGAAGAACATCTTACACTGAAAAATGGAAGCCACAATGAAAGATTTTAGGAGCTTAAGAACATCCTTTCAAGTGCATGTCAAAATTACACATGGCACCAGGCAGCGATCAGAAGGCTTGTTTTGCAGGAGCTGCCGCAGACCAGATGACCACACAGGAGCAAGCTGTCCTTCACTTGTGATTTACTACAGACTGGCCATTAGGAAGGGATGTCAGTACTTCCGTCAAAACTGTAACAGCTTACAGCTTTGCAAGCAGACTAATTCCATCTTTGGCTACTATCATTCAGCAAGCCAACCTGAAAGGTCAGCTTCTGCTCCCCCCTCTCTAGCATGCGTGTTGCGTGAGATGTCTCACGCACACACAATTTGTAGCCCTATAAAGGCAGTATTGCCACTGCTATTAGCAGGCCACAGGCCTCCGACTGCCTCAGAAACATGAGGCCTAAAGACTTTCCACATTTTGGCTGGACTTCTTTTGGCTTGAACTTATTTTTTGAGCTCGGATTTAGCTGTAGCAGCACACGCTTTGCAGTTGAGAGACTTAAATGTAATGAAGTCATTACAGTCAGATGACTTGTGTCTAACTTGTTTTTAGATTCAGCTCAGCTTTGTGCAACTGCACGGTCTTAAGGAAGTTATAGCAGATACAATAAAGGTCTAGCAAAACCAGCGTGATCAACATCAGCAAACCTTTGGACCAACACAAACCATTAACAACTGACTGCTTGGAAGCACCCAGCGTATCCCACGTGGAGCCACCACCAGCATCCTCCTCCCAGCAGAGCTCAGGAAACTGGAAGGGCGAGCCTGAACAGGGTTGATGTGAAGAAGCTTGTGCACATCGATTATTGGGAACTGGCAGTAATTACACTACAAGTGTTGGCATCACTGTAATTGGCTAACAATAAAAACTGCTGCATTTTGATTAGACTGCTAAGGCATTAATTAGACTAACAATAAATTCTAATTCTTGACTCCACTTATGAGGTCAGGATCACAGGGTAATGCAGGTTGGAGGTGTGTTTCTCCAGTCAGCACAAATTGCACAGTGTAATACACTCATTTAAAATTTTAATTATTTTTCCCCAATTTCTATTTTCAAGGAATATGATAAGATTAACATTTCTACAAAGGAATTATGTTTGCTGTGGAAAACCTAGGAAGAAGCAAAAGTTATATTAAATGTTTTTACGATGTGCCAGTTTTCACAAAGAATGTAATCAAAAAATCTCATTGCGGTAAGCACTATACTTTAGTCAGCAATTACTGTGAAATTCCTGAAAACAATTCAGCAAATACAGCTGAAGAGACTTAAGAGAGCATTTTAAAAGCCCTTTGCAATTTTTCTTTCCACTTAACAAGAATGCTAAAAAGTCCATTTTTAGCTCTCAGTTTTTCATCTCCCACTGCAATCAATAGCATACAAAGGAAGAGCAGAAGGACAAGCATACAT